CTGCTGAAAATGTACCTATTATCTAACATGTCAAAATTCCTATGTTAAAAATGGTGGCAATTTCAAAAACACTGAGGACAGAATTCATCGCAGTTACCATCTAAAAGCTAGGCGCTTACCTTAGCTAGCCATACAGACACCCCCCAGAGTTAGAGATGAGTGTCTCCAGAGGGCAATTCTTTCCGTCCTAAGATAGGCAGTTATGATCGATGGATGAACTGCCCCCTGGGTGCACCCTGTGTTCTCCTCCAATGCTGGCAGGAGCCACGGTGATTAGGCTGGGCCAGAAAGTAGCTTTAGGTGGCTACACATCAATGAGTTGATATGTTTGAAAGTTTTTCTTTGTTTTCCCTTTTCTGACATGAGACTGATGACAAGACACATGCATGAGTATTTTTTTGAAAGAAGCTTCATTCATTTGAAAGAATCTTTTATTTTGCTTCTACAAATTACATTCTTCTCAGAAATGGATTTTCTCACGCAGCATTAGGTTCTTATGGTTCTCCTGTGGCACTTGCAGAAACACAAGTCACATTGTCAATGACAATGAGGTGCCTAGGTCCCACTGACTTTTGATGAAACACAGTCTAGAGTACCTAAATCACTTTTGATGAGTTCTTATAAACCACCTGGATGTGTTTTTAATATTGTCCCCTTGCATTTACTCATGCTACTTTATGCCCAGTGACATCATTCCTTTTTTCTTCCCTGCCCTCCACTTTGTCCTCAATCTAAACAAATACTGGTACCTCTCAAAATTCATTATGCAGCTGAGTGGCAGTATGTGGGATGGTACAACTCGATCAGGTTCTATTATTAAACTATGACAGGAAATACAAATCATTGTTAAATATAAAAATACTATACATGCTTGATACCTTGTCTTTTAAAACCTGATTGGTAACTGATTTGCAAGTGACAAAGATATACCAGGTGTATTAGCACCTTAAAAGCAATTAAATAAAAAATATTATGTTGGTTTCTTCAGTTGATGAGTTGTGAGTTTCTTGTTTCTTCACCTACATCCAACACAAGGGCAAGAAACTAAGTCAAACCCAAACTACAGCTTAGAACCCAGACACATGGTCCTACTTAGGCAGGAGCGGGAATACTGGATGCTTGCTACTTCATCCTAGAACGGATCTATTGGGAATGGACAGGAAAGGGCAGAAACCTGACTATCAGAACTACAGCACGGGCTGGCACAACGCACAAGGCAACAGCAGTACACAAACCTATGTGGGTAAGAAGCAGATCTGCTTCTCCCAGAGACAAGTGAGAAGGTAGCATACAAATTATTCCTCTGCTGTGCTGCTCCCAGGGAAACATACCAATGTGTGTAACTTAAGACATCTAACTACATTTAGAGAACAGCTGCCCTAGGATTCTCTAAATTCAACTGAGAAACAGACATTTGCAAAGAGCGACTGAGCTCAGAAGGAGCCACCCCCTAGGAAGGGCTTCTCTCTCTTCACAGACTAGGTAAAGAGCCAAGGCCAAGTACGCTTCAAATTTCTGCTCCTCCACGTGCTTCCTGGAGATAACGGGCAAGTCTGGACTCTCGTGCACTACTGAGCACGCTATGGACTAACCCTACTATACAACAGCTATGTCCATGAGTGCAGATTATATCACGCAAGAAGAAAAGGAAGTACAATTTGCTGCAGATTACTAAGAAAATTCCTGTTTATAGTCATTCACAGAAGCAAAGAGAAAAATAAAGTGAGCAAAGGTGACAATATTTAATATAAAAAATACAAATAACTTTCTTCCTACCTTGCCTTCCACATACTGTGGATAAATAGGATAGTAAAGAGCAGATTTGTGGGCCAAGCGAAGAATCTCCTTTAGAAAGTGTTTTGTATAGTGACGAAATATAGGATTTAAGACAAAGTGGTAAAGATGTCCATGTTCCTCTTGCTGGTGGTGATTAAAATGAATAAAATCTTCAATGTTGTAATGCGATCGAATATACTCAATATCCTGGAAAAGAAGAATTTGGAATTCAGAAGTGATGAAACAGCTACATTTACAATATTTTAGCAAGTGCCCATGAGTTGCTTTCTATCAATTAAGGAACTGAATTTGAACACTGACATTAAGTGCCTTTGAGAGTTATCCTCAATCAAAGCACACTGACTGAACATATTTTTTTTGAAAATCTTTTCATTGTACCAAAATCTATTCTTGACCACCTTTATTTACCAGCAATGCATATTTGACCCTTTCACAAGAATGTCTAGTACAGGTTAATAGAAATTCATGAAGAAAAAAAAGAAAAAAAAAAATCTGTTTTGCCGAGTTCAAGACAGAGAAGCCTAGAGTGTCCTCTCGCAAAACTTAGACTGAAAAAGGGTAATTCTACAGAGAAGAGCTGCATAAGAAATGCCCTCCAACAAGTCTTCTCTGTTGAAGTGATAAGCTGAGATTTTTGCACATTTATACAATCAAAAGAAATTGCTATACCCTCTTATCTCAATGCTCTTAATATCATTAAGAGCTATTTTTGAAAATAGGAGTGACTACTCTATTTTAAAAACTGAGCATTACAGCTGTTGAATACTCCAAGATTCACCTTTTCAGTAACAGCAGAATGCCACAAAAATAAGCCTTAAGGAACATTTACTTTTCAAGAATAATGTGCAACATTGTCTTTTTTTTGTACTCCATTAGAGAATACGCTTTTTATTTGTTTTGAAGTTAAGCGTGTGATTCATAATCACTCAGAGTCTACCGTTGGGGGCAAAAAAAGTTAAGAAAGCAAATCTAGAAGGACAACTACTACTCTTTGCAGTACGTATGGCAAAACTGCTTATTGCCTTTGGAAATTAGGGGGCAAAATAAACAATTACAAACATCTTCAGAGGCAGAATGGCTTTGTGCTAAAGAACCAAAAAGAGATGTAGGAGGCATACTTTCAGAACACATCAGCAGCTTCTTGCAAGTAACAGGATGATTTTTTTTCCATCCATTTGTCAATCATTATCTATGAGAAGGGAAATAATACAGTCTAAAGAAAGAAAGTGTATAGAATCAGTATCATTTAGATATACTTTCTGTTAGGTACACATATAGCGGCGAGCATGAAGCTCAGCCTTTAGTGTTGAGGGCTAAGTGTTACAGTTTTCATACAGAAATAGAATTTACCATTTCATCTCTAATAACAGAAATGCCAACTATTTGATCCAAAACTTCTGCTATGAAAGCCTGCACTGGAGTCCCATCCTGTAAGGCAAAAGCAACATATGAATGTTTCCTATTTCATTAGTAATCTTTCTTTTTAATTGTAACTGTATTTCACCACGTCAGTTAAAATACTTTCCTCCCAGTACACATTCTATACACTACCCCAATTTAACCACTCTTCCTTAACTCGAGGCATAATGTTTAAGCAGTGTATATGGCTGGACTCTTGACCATGCAGAACTGACGTTTCAGTTAGGATCTAGCTGCTACAGGAGTGCTATAGGCTCAGCCACTACTTTAGTCCTGGGTTAAGTTCTGATCTTAGGAAAGAATATTAATTAAAACAGGTATTTTCCATCAACAGTTGTATAAAATGGATCTCCCTACAGCTGTATGATTAGCAATTAAGAGCGCTTGCAGCATTTTCCATCACACAACAAAAATGCAGATGCTCCCTGCTGTCTGATGGGCATATGTCTGGCTGGCCACATTATGGGAAGGAGAAAGAGTCCCCCATGATATGACAAAACCCAAGTACATGTTCATCACACAACCAGATGTGCATGCAAGAAAAAGCGACAATGCAAATCAGGCGGTGGGTGGCCAAAAAAAACGCATCCAGCCTGCTTCTGTCCCTGCATTTGAGGAGTCTCCAAAGAAGAGGGTAGTTGTATAGGCCACAGGTTAGATTAACTATCACGTCAGGCTGTACTGACTGTTGGTACTGACTTGAGTACCTATATACTGTATATATGGTATACTAGTTGAGTAATGTCATAAATTCTGGATGTATTTACCAGTATTATCCATTCTCTTATAAGTATATTTGCAACAAATACTCACTGGATCCCTGCGAGCCAGAGTAAATATCTTTAAGTCATTCAATATACTTTCATTCAAGCTAAGGGTTTTAATGAGCATTTTGACACCAAGTAGGTCATTGGTTGTTGCCTTTCTTACATTAAATGACCTATTAAAAAAAAAAAAAAAAAGAGGAAAAAAGAGTAAAAGTTCACTCTGTGACAAATTAAAGAGAATTCCCATGCTTAGGACAACATGCCTTCCACAAGCACCAAACACATCTTTTAGAAGTTGAAATTGACTGCCATATGACTATTGTTCCCACATATGACTATATGCATAATTAACTCGCTGCGTGATAACATAAAAGATCATACATCTACTTAACGCAAGAATGCTGCTTTAACTGCTACTAAACACTCAGTCTTTATGCACCTACAGCCCAATCCCACAAAGCAATGAGCAGCTATAACCACAGATCTCACCTAATCTTCATGTGAGTAAGAGCCAGCAGAGAAAGGAGCAAAGAAGCTTTTAAAGTGAAAGTAGAATCCGTAACTGCACACTGACGCGCATGGGAAAAAAGAAAGAAAAGAAACAGAGAAAGATGAGAAAAAAAGAAAAAAAGGAGAGAGAGAAAAAAATAAAACAGAGCCAACTGTCATCCTTGGATATGGTACAAAAGAAAGGCAGTAACATCAATTCCTCCAACAAGAACAAATTACTAACATTTGTGTTAGGCCTCGGTTCTTCAAATAGTAATACACGAGGACAAACTTACATGAATAAAATGCCTCTCATAAATATAAGATTGCCAATTAGTAATCACACAACAGTGACATGGTATAAAAATGACTGTGCAATATATACAACCAGCAACATGTCAGCTACAGACAGCAATACCCTGGCACTTACCTAGTTTACACACTCTGTTATAAAACATCTTCCCACCCACTAATTATGAAAAAAATTTACTTCACAGTGACAGCCTACAACAGCTGAGGAGCTCCCTCATTTCGTCTGTTAAACGCATCGACCCTTCCTGGTTAAACAAGGCTCATATAATAAAGACTTACAGAGTGCTGTTCAAGGAACTGAACTACAACTTAATTTCCAAGAACTAAGTTCTTTCATCCACAGTTAACAAACTTGCAATTCACATAGTATAATTTCCATTCCTGTTGTTCTTGTTTTCAATTTAAACTTGTATGTGCTATTCTTCAGCCGAAGTCACCGTCACATTGAGAGTGATTTTGTGGAACATGGTTTTAATGAATAGCACTAGCACCTTAAAAAACAAACCTACCCAATATCTGATACGTTATGGGAAATTTCACAGCTCAGTCTCATGGATCATTTTCAACTCAATTATTTGAGTGCTCAAAAGCATACATTTGATTACTAAGTTACAAACTAATCCTGAACTTCTAAGTGAATATCAGCTTAGTTTCCACATTTGTTCACACATTTCCACAGACAGTTAATTACAGATCAAACAAGTGATGAGGATGATGGTCAGCAAGACCAGCAATATGGTTTACTCTGCAACCCATGAGCATGCTATCTTCCTGCCACTCCACTGAGCCCAACACGTCAGTTTTTCTCTCCACCCACGTCCAAGAGAAGGCAGTCGTGCCAATAATGGACTACATTTTTAATATGAGGAAAAACAGAACATGCAAAAATTCAAAACCGTTTCTTTTAAAAAAGAAAAACAAAACCACTAGATCCACTGTGAGTATGAAATAGTAGGAAGGACTATCCAAGGTCTGTGCTCATTTCTCTTCCAGTAATGAATTAACTCATTCTAGATGCCCAATTCCTTTGACTGCTCAGAGACCAGGACACTATTATTATTATGCTTTTTAGTGAAAATTGAGGGAAAGTATCCATTAAGCATTTCAGCCTATGCCTTGTCATCTGTTATTTTTTCTCCTTCACTGTTAAGTAGCAGACCTACACTTCCATTTGCTGCACTCTTGCTTTTTGTGTACTTAACACTTTTTCTTATTCCTTTTACAACCTTTACTAATCAGTATCTCATTTTGTGCCTGTGCCTCTTCTGATTTTGCCCTTTCATGTCTTCATATTCCCATCTTCTTACCCCTGTTTTTCTTTTAATCCATTTTCTGTGACTTCCTTTTCACTCACGCCTTTTGAAAGCCCTTGGTGCAAGTACAATATATTGATCTTTTACTTTTTCGTATTTTGGTTTTATCTGAGAGAGTATCTGCCGTTGTGCACCGAGTTTTTTTGTTCTTCACAAACTTTCCAAAAGCTTCATCTGGTTTGTTCCATAGCTCTTCTGATCCTAAACCTCAACAAAAGGCTATTTTTCCTTACTTTCCTGCACAGCTGAGGGGGT